TACTGGGAAATGAATCTGTTTGTCATAGTATAACGGCGATTCAACCAACTATGAAGCTATTAATGCTATTTGAATTCAACATTACAGAGATCATATTTCTTCTCTATGCTGATTTAGTCATTTAAACAGTATTAAAAAGAGATCTGGTCTTGATATCTTTAATTGACACATCACTTATGTTCTCTAAATGAAGTCTGATTCTGCACGTGGAGACACATCTACATCTCTTTTGAAGCGAACAAAGGTAATAGGGAAGCCTATTCCTAGCCCAACACCTTTAACCAAGAGGGCTTCTCTGGGTAGCGAACTTATCCATATGGAAAAGGATACTGTCAAAAATGCAACTGGTAACAAGAACTTCTGTTTGATTAGATTTCTTCATTTTTTCCCCTTGAAGGCTGAAGTGTTTATGCTTGTGGTATAAAGTTATCATTCTCTAATCCTAGTTTGACCATTGCAGGTAGAGGGGCTCCATTGCCAAAAATACCCTCAAGTTCAAGAGTTCTACCTAGGCCAGGACCATTAGCTAGATCTTCCTTTTTGGATACTTCACCCGGAACCAAGAGAGAAGGAGCTCCTTCCTCATTTGATAGTTCTGGCAGTACTTCTAACAACATTGGTCCCTGCAACTCCAAGAGAAAAACTAATTCCAGAAGTGCCAATCCCCCTTCCTCCGGTTCTTCCAGCAAAACACCATCACGAATTGAGCCAAGAAATAAATGTCAATCTGGAAAATCTCTTCTGTCAACTAACAAGGTGCCTGGGACAAAGCTGGTTACTAGCACATCCCCTGCTCACTCATGGTCCTCAGAGTCATCGTCGTCATTTTCAACTTTAGAAAAAATGTCATACATTCCAAGAGCTAGCCTTGACACAAGATCGTCCAAAAGCGGCTCCGTAGGTGGTGATGCACCAGATATTCTAGATTGAAGAACCATATTTATGATCAAAGCTCAATTGGGAATGAGACTCAGGTGACTGGCTTGCTTCGTCAGTGTGATGTGAAAGCTTCAACCGAAAATAGTGGACTTCCTCCAGCTTCAAAACCTTCTGGACTACGATTGCCATCACCCAAAATTGGCTTCTTTGATGGGGTTCGTTTTTCCTTGCCTCTTGATTCTTGTGTTCTATATGGGAAATTATTATCTCTAGTCTTCTAAGTTGCATAAGATAAACTATGCTGTTACCGAAAGGCCTAGGCTAAATAACTTCAAAGTAGCATTTTTGTGAATGTGACGAAACTAATGTTAGCAAAATCACGTTGTTAATTTTCTTTTGTTTCTCTTTTAAATAACCACCTGGTCCCCTCAAAAAATAACCACCTGGTGTTTTACTTTATGCAGGCGAAAACCGCGGTGTCCTCCCCGAAAGGAAGTATGCAGCCTCATCCTGTTGTACGTAGTGGCTTGCCTAAAAGTGGGGTGCGAAGTGTTATCCTGAGTGCGGGACAAAACAAGGGAAAGGTGGGAAAACTTCTACCTGTTAGAAATGTATCTAAATTGGGGAATAAGACCCCTGATGCTCAAAAAACGTCCTTTAACACGAAACCTAAGTCTCCAGTACCACTCCAGCAAGCATCCAGTGCTGCAAAGGTCCTTCGTCCTTCCAGGAACAGCATATCTCCTAAAGTTCCAAGTCAAGGGCCTCGTAAATCTGGCAGTGAAAATCACTTGAAGGATGAGAAAGTTGGAGCTGAAGAACATAGTACTGACATTAATGAGCAAGAAAACTGTGTTGTAGAGTTGAAGGGTAGCCCTACTTTCTCAAAAAATAAAGTGAGCCCACAATTGAAGGTTCATTCTCATGGGAAGGCAGCGAAAGTCACTCCAATTAATGGCGGGTCTCCTATTATCTTTGATTCAAGTTCCACTTGTAATGCTGACAACATACCCCTTTCTGATAAATTGGGTGATGCAACATAGGAACCAAGTGATTTCAAGCAGTCGGAAAAATCCCATCTCGAAGATCAGGTTAGTGGCTTGAGCAAACAAGTTGGAGCCATGAACATGGACACAGAGATGGTGTTATTTAAAAGGGTAGCATTTTCTTGTAACAAACCTTTGCAACGTGTGTGGGTTTGTCGATAATTCAAGAGGATCAACTGTGCTGAAGGGAGAACATGCCGAGATTAGGGCAGTAGCGTTGAAGCTGGTCTTGTTACATAGGATTGTTCTGTAGGTCTTTGCATTGAAATTGTTTGTTTGGTGCATATATCAACAAGAAGAACGCATTTGAGTTGCCAATTAAACGGTTTTTCGTGTACTCTTATTCTATATTACATTAAGTCGTATACTGCATTTCCCCTGCCTTCTCCCTCTCCTCTCTCATAAAATTCGACCGTTAGAATATTTCACACCCTAATTTGATTGTTTGAATTATACGCCGCCATATACAGCCTGCAGGGGTCCCTTATAGACTCACTAAATAAAGGGGCTTTTAGATCCAGGTCCAAAAACATAGAGTGTTTTTAGGAATGAGTCTAGTTATCTATTATATATATATATATATATATATATATTTTATACTCATTTTATATTTTCTAAAAATATTAAAAATCAATCAAAATCTTCTAATATTATGCATTTTCCAACTCCAAAAAATATATTTAATATCTTATAACAAAAAAACTAATATACTAACATAAATTTATCTGTAAAACATTCTACCCTAACTCAAGTAACAAATATATGAATGTATATAATACTTATACGTGAGATATGAAACCTAATTAAAAGGTAGAAAAAACATAACATACCTACAAGCAAGACACATTAATCTGTGACATGTTGATTATAAAAAAAGAATCTATCATATAGGTAGATAAATATAATTAACCTCTGATATAGGTTGATTATAAAAATTAAAAATAAAATCTATAAATAGGGTTTAAGGCAGGAGGAAGAACGAGAAATAACAAAAAGATAAATAAAAAGAAATAAGCAAAGAGATACTTGGGAAGAAATTTGATTTTTATAATAAATCTTATCATTGAACAAATAACTATTGATAATTAAATAATTAAATATAACAAATTGGACTTATTTTAATAAACTGGACTATTCCTACTATTGGCTCAAAAAATTGGACTTATATCTAGTTTTCCCTAAAATAATATACAATTGTTTTTGGGCTTAACAGATGGGCCTTCAAAAAGCCCACTAAAAGACAAGAAGATCTAGACATTGGGCTTATAAGTTAGCCTAAGAAATCTAGATGACAGATCACCAAACGAAAATGAAAGACTACCGCCATCAATGACCGCTCCTAGCCCTGAATTGTATACCGACAAGAAGAGATGACACTTTAAAGACATGTCTGTCCAGACAACAACTCTGAGTCACACGTTGGGCATCAGTGAGAAAAGAAGTATATAAGGAACATAAATATTGTCAGGTCTAGCACTCCGGTAAAGTGATCATGAATGTAAACTTACAGTTGTTATTTGTTGCAACTCCTTTATGGATTATTGAGAAGTATGCTAAACCGCGGTGTTTCAAGAATGTTAAACCTGTATAGTATGAATTTTATGAGTATAAAGCCAACAACCGAGCATGGATGACCGGAGAGTTATTCCAAGAATATGCTCAATGACTCGATAGACAAAGGGATGATTGACTCATATTTTAGAAAAGCCTCGTAGTCAAATCATAAGAATTATGATACATATTATTAGTTTATATATTATATGGGACTTATATGAGTTTTTTTTTTTTTTTAATTTTATACTATATTATCTTATAAATTTACTTGGGAGCAGCCTCTTCATAAATGGGGGTAAGGTTAGCCGACATTCACCTCTCCCAGACCCTGCGTAAAGCGGGAGCCTTGTGCACTGGGTACGACCTATTATCTTATAAATTTAGCGAACTATTAATTTAGCACGTTATTTTTCAAATCGGAACTAGCCAAAATATTATTTAACTGAGGTTATTAATTTAACAGGTATTAAATTATTGAGATTCTACTGTACTCGGTTTTTTGACGGTCATGATCTGACACTGGTGCTTAAATAGTAACCAGATTTTTTTCACTTGGTGTGTTGTTTTTTTTATTCACCCAAAAAGTACTCCGTAAATAAATTGAAAATATTTTTGCTCATTACTGTTAACTGACAGTGATGCTCACTCTCTACCCTATTGAAAACCAGCAGTTACTAAAGTTCATTCTCTATCAGTATAGGCCCCAAAATTGCTTTGGTTAACATTTGATAAAGTATGATACTTTTGGAACAAAATTTCTTACATTGAGAAGAGAAGAGAATTACAAAAAGTATATGAATGGAATATGAACACACTATTTTTTCTCCGCCATTCAATCTAATTCATTCAATATGATATCGAGAAATAAAAAAAGCCGTATAAAAATAGAAAATAGCGTGTGCTTATCATTTCTCAGTTGAATCATATCTTTAGCATAACTTCACTTTCAATCCAAGATTCAAAGCACATCCAAATATTTTGTGTTTAGTTTGCTTTTAGTACACATAATAATCATTTATGCATGCTAGGGCCCTTTGATATCCATGATTAGTGAGAGAACAATACTTCATGTTAAACAAATACTTTTCATAAGTTTTATCTTTTGGCATCCATGATTGCTGAGAGAAGCACTGGCTTTTTATATTTGAGCTAACCCACAATGCTACTATTGTTTTCCCTTTCAGCTAACCCACAATGCTACCAGCTAACCCACAATGCTACTATTGTTTTCCCTTTCATAATTTTCTTTTAAATTTTTTTATTACAAGCGATATTACTACTCTAACTTTAAATTACACTAAGAGGAGAGAAAATGATTTGAACCCGAAATGAAGTGAGTTAAAGAAAAATGACATTCGTTAGGACAATCCACCACCTGCTTTCTTTTGTCTTTCTAACTTGAAAAGGCGAAAACTTTGCGCAAGGGCAAGCAGATGCATGAGCATTTTGAACTCTTTCGTCTGGAAAATGGACAGTGCCCGGGCTTGAATCCGGAAGGTCAGTTCAGCACAAAAGACTGGATGCATTTAGCACAACATTAACATAATGCAAACTGCATTGATCCAATACTGAAACTGAATTGTGCTTTAAATTAACATAAAATGGAAAGGCTCAAAGTAAAATACAACATTATTCCAAGTCTTTCATAGCGATACATCATGTGAGAAAGGACTCTTCAAAGTTCACCAGTTTCCACATACCTATACAGTCTGCAAATGTCGGTCTTTAACTCCACACGAAACTCGGGTGCTAGCAGCCTAGCACCCTCCAAAATACCTGTCAAGATTACAACAGAACATACTGAATCCAACAAAATAATAGTGAGCGACGATAAGCAACTTGTCACATAATTCTGACTACTTTTGGCCCTTCTTCCATAACACGCCGATCTTCTTTAACATATTCCCATTTTTCTTCTTCGGCGAGTCATCATCCATGTCTTCTGAATAAGGTGAATTCATAGGATTGTAGTTGTTGCTGTCAAGAGAACCTGTTCTCTCAACAAGGTTCCCATTGTTTCCAGTTGAAAGCATGGCAGCAGCTGCCTCAGCGGCCTTCCTCCACTGATCCGCCTGCACCTTTAACTTCCTTAACTCAGCCTCCAGTTCAGAATTTGCAGCCTGTGCTGCATCCAGCTGCTCAGTCACCTGTGCGGCTCTCCTGGTACTTTTATCTGCTTCCTCAGTCACATAGCCCAGTTTCACCAAAGCCTCTCCCGCTGCAGCCCTTGCAGCTTCCTCCGAAACAACAGCCTCATCATTAACTTTATTCCTCTCGATTTCCTTGTTTTTTAGTTCCATCTTGAGCATTTCATTCTCTTCAGCTATGTTCTGCAATTCCGTTTCCTTATCCAACAAACTTGCCTTCAACTCTACCATTACAGTCTCTGACTTCTTCAGCTCCAATTCAAGTTCAGATTCATCTTCAGTTGATAAATTTTTCTCAACTTTCAAGGCCACCCCATCATTTTTCTTTGATACAATCTGAATTTCAGTTTCCTTATCCATTAACTGTGCTTTCAAGTCTTCAATATGATCCTTCGCTTTTTTCAGTTCTGCTAGCAGTTCAGCTTCCCTCTCGGATGCTTCAGATTTTGCACCGTCAACTTCCTCGTACGCATTCCGAATCTGCAATGTGCTCTGAATGTATTCTTCCTGGTACCTGACCTCAGCTGCATCCAATGCAGATCTCAACTGACCCACTTCGGATTTCAAAGAATTCAGCTCTGCTTGTAACTGTTTTCTTTCTTCATTTTCATCTTCCTTAACAAGTTTTACATTGTCTGTAGAGTTTACCGAATGATTGCCTTTCCTATTAATCAGTTCTGCTTGAAGTTTGCTCACAAGACCCTCCAGTGATTTAACACGAGCATTGGATTGCTCCAACTCCAATGATAAGGAGTTGCAAGACTCTGTGGCTTTAATCCCATCCAATTTGAGCATTTCTATGGTTGCATTTGCCGCTTCCAATTGCATATGAGTGCTTTGTATAACTTCTAGTGCCCGGGATTCAGATTCTTTGCATTCATTGAGCTCAGCTTTCAATTTCTCAACCAGGGAAAAAGTTTCTGAAAGTTCCTTTCTCAAGGTCTGGATCTCAGCATATGCCGACTCTGCATGCCTGTTTTGAGCGTCCTCAGACTCGGCTACCCTTTCGAGCTGACCCTTTAGCTTCTGAATTTCATTCATAGCAGAAGCCAGGGCAGCAGAATCCATTGACCGCTGCTTTTGGACAGCCTCAAGTTCAGACTCCCATGCTCTATCCCGATCCTGAGACAGTTCACGAAGCTCTTGAAGACGAGCATCTTCAGAAGTAGAAAGTTCCATCAGTTGCTGTTGGGATTCTTCAAGCTTTGCAGACATGGCTAATATCTGGTTCTTCGCTTCTTCAGCCTCCTGCTGGGATCGTCTCTTCAGCGACTCAGTTGTGTTTAACTGGTCCTTTGTCTTCTTCAGATCCTCTTGGAGTTGAGCAAGTTGTGTTTCCATTCTGACACTCTTTTCGGTTGCTTCTTCTGAAGCTCAAAACCAGGGAAAGGGGAAGTAAATGAGAAACTACAATCGTTTTGAATTGAATGATAAGAAACCACATTAGAACCACACCAGTTAACCTTCTAGCCGCAAGACATAAGTTATCATGGAATACCTCAGGTACAGGGCTTCGTGGTGACATGCGCTCATTGACTTTTGGACTTCTGTTTTTCAGGGTCTTAGTCGCCATATTTGGAGAGGATACAGAATCCGGCTCTGATCCAGGCGTCTTGTTAGTTCGAGGCCTTGCTGGAGATCTCCTTTGAGGCACTTCCAAAGAGCCAATTCTGCTATCAATACGAAAGGGAAGTTAAATATTAGAAGATTGCATAGTACTCAAAGTAAAGATAAGTTTCACAAATTGTTGCATCAAGAACACAAAACATAGAAAAAAAGCTAGATGCGGATACAACTTTGCTACAAATGGATTCACCCATATCTGGAGGATATAATGCATAACAACCATTTACCAAAGCAATACCTTCTTTGATTTGTCTAACTTACTTTCAGATACAGAGCGATAAAAATTTAGGCAGAAAAGAGAGAAGTATTTTACAAAATTATAACTTACAAATCAGCATTTCAATTCTGATGATACTGGCATATAACACGAATTCCGCATGGATAGATATAAATTCGAATCCGAATTCATACTCGGTTAAGTTTAGATGAGGTTTATAAACTTTGTTAAAAACTCAGAGCAAAATATTTCTCAAGCTTTTTATTGCTTTCCTTTTACTACTTTATATATAATTTAGAACACCATCCTATTTTGCTTTCTCAGCTAATTGTATCACCATTACTTACCCAATATGTCAAATTTTCCCATAACGAAGACAGAAAATTTGAAGTCTAAGAGTGATTATTAGCACACTATAAAATTAAGCAAACAAAGTTAATATTCTTATAAAAGAAGCAAATAAATGTTGATCTTACTTTGCTTTTGGTGTCTGCATCTTCAACATCTACACGTGCTGATTGCGTTGTCCTAATTCGATCTCCCTTTCAAATCCCTGAAAGCAGTTCGGAGAAACGATCTTTGGCTGAGATAAAGAAACTTCAAAGAGAATACCATATATATGCACACAAAAAACACAAGAAAAATGGCTCACTAAAGATGGCCACCTTAGATCCATATAAAGTACAAAAACTAACAAACAAACAAACAAACAACACCTGCCTTCAAAGAAATCCCACAGAAAACTAACACCACTACTACCAACCAATCCCACTAATATTCAATATATATATATATAAGAAAGAACGCTGCAGCTGCAAGATTCATTGAGTCTCATTAAACAAGCTAACTTTTTAAATTTCCCTTTCTCCTTTTCCCACCTTTAAACTACATTCCAAAAAATGATTTAAGACACAAGGGACCAGCAGGAGTTAGAAAATGACAACAATAACCACGTGCGATTGCCGTGGCTTAATTTTTAATTTGCATCAGTGCTCATGACAAAAGGAGGATCTTTCTGTAATAACTGATTAATTGTGGGCATACTGAACCCAGCAGAGCACAAATGAACCCCATTTCTGTTCTTTGATGAAAATCCACTCTCTTAAAATTTAGCTGCAAATTAAAAACTATGACATAATTTTATTGGAAACGCAGCAATGCTAGAAAATGCAATCAGAAGTGTTCTTAAATTATAGTAAATTACAGAACCAATATATTAATGAAACCCATAGATCTATGAACCCCAGATTAGAACAACAGATCTACAGAAAAAATTGAAACAGGAAAAACTTAAAAGAGAGACCCTGGGAATACAGCTTCATGCTTAGCAAAATAGGGAAAAATAAAATCTTTTGTGGTGGACCAAAAAATCTGAAAGAAAAAACATGAAGGGGAAGAAACTCTAGCTCTTCTTCTCCAGCAACTCTTCAGAAATTGCTTTGAAAACCGGAGCTTGCAAAGGAAGAGACTTTCAGTTTAAATACCACCAACCCACATTTTCATGTAAAAGCACAAGTTCCCCAACATTTAAATTAAACCAAAAATTAAAATAACATAAGAACAAACTAAAAGCGACAAAACCCATAAATTAACTGTATAAAACAAGCTCTTTAAACCCAGAAAAAGCTATTAACCCAAAAAAAAACCCCAGAAAAGTTAACACATTTTCCATAAAAAAGCAACAGAACCCAGAAATTCATAGACTAAAACAAGCTCTTAAAACCCAGAAAAGACAACACATTTTTACCAGAAGGTAAAAAATAAGAGTAGACTCAAGTTGCAAGGATAGTATAAAATGGGAAAGGTTTTGCAACGAAAAACATGACATCAAAATACCGTTGGAATCCCTTTCTTCTTAGTTTAGATTAGATTAGAATATCGTTCGAATAAAAAGAAAAAACCTTGACATTTGGCCTTACCACAAAGATCTCTGCCTCTGACTAGGGTGGATAGCTAATATTCCTCACGTTGGATAGTACTAATTAGCAGATGTTTGGCAAAAGACAAGAAAAAGGAAAAAGAAAAAAGAAAAAATAGGCTTTGGAAATGGCAGAAAACCCTAGAGCTTGCTTGGTTTAGAGTTGCAGCAGTAGCATTGGGAGGGTTTGGTAGCTTCTGCTGTAGCTGCTTCTGTGTGCCCACTTCCCAAGTGAGTGAGACTGCTTCTCTCCATTTCTTTGTATTTGTCAGTGGAGGGAGGGAAGTGAGCAACAGACAAAAGCAAATGCCTAAATTGGCTAATAGAAACTAATAAATGCTTTTACCCTCACGCGCCTATTAATCCACACGCTCCCACTCTTGCTGATAGAGTGATAATAGGTCTTAGTCTTACCTTCTGAGATTGCTACAGCTACCCGAATAGTTTTTGAGTGATTATCATGGGATGGCTCAGCGTATAAAGATGAATTTCATATTCGTATTCTACACGGTACATTTTGAGTTTGATTTCAAATATTGGTGAATCACGTGATGATTAATCGGATGAGATTGAAATGCTTCTGTGAATCTTCCAAATCCTTAGAATGATGGATTACCGTAACGAAACCATTAACTAGTTTCCTTTTTTTTCTTTTTAAAAAAAAAAAGAAAATAGTTTTTAGGGTGAAGAGCAAGGCTTAATTCAGGTTCCAACATCCAAGAACAAATGGGGTTATTTAGTGATTATAGATAGTGTACTCTCCCATCTTAAGCTAATCCCCAATAATTTGTTTCCATTAGGCCCTCTATGCATAATTTATTGGCCTCTCAATTCCCTTATAAAACTCATTTATTTGGTTGTACAACGAATCTTAGGTACCCTTCATGATATACGTAACTAATCTTGATTAAGAAAAAAGATAATGACAATCATTCAGGTATGCATGCATTAGCGTGAGTTGTTTATTGGTGTGTGTTGTACGTAGGCATTTTACAATTATTTTAGGTGAGTTTGATTCACACACACACATATACATATATATATATATACATATATATATATATATATATCTCTCTCTCTCTATTAGTATATTACCCATCAGCAATCATTTTGATCATTTTGTTAAAATTCTGTTAAAAAACTTTGTTAAATAAGGATTAAAATGACAAAAATACTGTTAATTTAATAAACAATGGACCAAAATGATTTGAAAAAAATTGAGGGTATTTTTATCTTTTATCCTTATTTAATGAAAATTTTTCACAGAATGATCAAAATGATTGATAGTGGACAATCTTAATGACCACTTCTATCGATTTCAAATTTTAGAGACCAAAGTGAAGAGTTGTGCCAATTTCAAAGACCATTTTGGATAAAAGACTTTTATAATCTCCAAGCTTTACTCCCATAGAACTCAAGAATTGAAATCAGTCCCATAAACTTATTTTCCGCATGTGCAAGAGTTTGATTCTTATACAATTCAAATCAAACTTAATTTTCCTGCTTATTGCGGAAGGTCTTATAATAGTACCTAATAAAGATTTCATACTTAATTAGGTTAGGAGATTATTCATGACCCCGATTTTCAATAGTGTGAATAAGGCTTTCGAGTTATAATTACTCAAAAATAATCGAGAGTTGTTGGTTCTTCTCAATTCCCATGTTTTCAATTTGATTCATTGAATTAGAGCATTTCATCCTTCACATACCCACCTCTAAACAGCTGGTTTGCACAGGCAATTGGGATACACTTGGATTTGTCAAAGCTTCAATTTTTCAAAGTTTTCGTCAATGATTTTAGACCCCATTGGCTATAAACTCATCAATGTGTATATCCCAATTTGTGGATCCCCAATTTTTACTTGGAACTTTTTTTGTCTTTCCATTGACCTAGGACTCCTGCTTGGTCAATGCAACTGATATTTTTTTTTTTTTTGGAAACTAATGCAACTGGTATTTAGTAACTGATAAGACAGATTGATTAGGCTTTGGATGCATTTTCAACCATTACATGTGCCAAGTCTTCTGCTTCGGGTTACAGGGCACAAATGGCTGGTAATTAGCTAACTAGGTCCCTTCTTCCATGGGGTCCCCCTGAAATTGCACCATTGGGCCCCCAAAACTAGGATACTAACAAAGAACAAATAAGGGCAAACCGCTTAATTTCTGCATGATTAATCATATTAAGCAGACGAGTTGTGTTCTTGGAGAAATTCTTGGGTGCGGACGTCCAGATCATGTTAATGCCTGATGACACACTTAAAATGCTCAATCCCCCTCTTTTGTGCACCTACCTCTCTTCCAGACCCTGCGTAAAGCGGAAGCCTTGTGCACTGAGTACGACCTACTGTTACAATCAATCGTTCCAATTATGAGACTCAAAGAGTCTAGTGTTGTTATTTATTGTTACTACTTTCCCATGTCAAGATGGAGTATAAATTTGCTTTGAGCGCTCTAATTTCTTCAGAGTAATAGCACCATGAGAGAAATTTTTAAGTGTGAACGCTTAAATCACGTAATCGTCTAACTGCACACACAAAGTGTCTCATCCTCCTTGTGTCTAGTGCCTTGTACGGATAACCACACACAAAATTTATTTTGTGCTAATACTACAGCTAGTCATCCATGCGCGAGTATGCGATTCCTTCTCATTGAAGCAAACAAGACCCACACTATATCCAAAGTTTGGATTCGTCCAACGCACACACGGGCACCCAACTTAGCCTACAATAAAAACTTAAAAAATGCAAAAAGCAATGGAAGATAGACACGTCAATATTTTATATTACTATTTTTTTTGTCTTATTATTTTTATAAAAAACAATATAAAATGTTAATATGAATTAACCGTGACCACACAAAACAGGAAGGTACGGAAAAAGCACTGAAATGGGAGGGCAGAGAATCCAAGTCCTCACATATATGCCAAAGTATTGTCAAGTGTCCTTGTAGTGTGCAAGGCATGAGTAGATATAATTAAGGAATGGCATCATTATTTATTTCTTTGATTGTGTCATGTCAAATGTGAGTGGAAATAAAGGTAACCTATTGATATATACTTGTCCTATATTGTAGGGCAAATGGGCAATCCATTTGTTTATTTGCACAAAGCCCGTTGCTTTGTCTGCAAAGAAAGCAAGTTGGTATCATATAAAATAAGGTATAATTTTGTTCATTTCTTTGAACTAAAAGAGGACTAACAAAAACAAAATATCCATTTGGAAAGCAAAGGGAAAGTCACACTCATTGCTCAAAAGTGGATTGGAAAATAAGGCTTTGGTTGTTGTTTTAAGACTTCTCTGAGAGGGATGGGGTATTTTAATACATACTAGTCCACAACAACTTGATGTATCATAGGCTAGCCATCCGATTAGGGTTTTTTTAGAGAGATTATTTTCACACATCCCAAAGTACTTCTCTCACACATTTTTACTTTTTTAATATTTTCTACACACCACTAACACTTGATAGAAAAATATTAAAAAATTAAAAGAGTGTGAAAGAAGTAATTTGGGGTGTGTGAATATAATCTCCCTTTTTTTTAATAAGTAAATTAGTCTGTTGCTTGTTTGTCTGTAAATTACATCATTTCTCAAACTGCTATGGAAAAAAATAATGCCTTTGCTTAACTAACAAACATGCATTTTGCATTATAATTGTTTTATATTGTTATTATCAATATTCAATATTTCTAAGATTCTCATTTTGAATACCTATGAGACCCATTTTATATGAGTCGTCAGATTAATCTTATGGTAGGTTAAGCCATCAACTTAAATAATCTATTTTACACTGAAACAAAACACTAATTGACAAAACAAAAAAAATAAATAAATAAATAAGAAGAAAGAAGAAGGTTTCACGTCAGGTCGAATTTTTTCCGTCTGCAAAACCTAGTCTCCTCATTGAATATAAAAACCTAGCAAATCTAATTGCATAAAACCCTAATAACTTTAGATATCCAATTTCATCGGATCTTTTATCAATAATATTCAAATCTAGTTAGTTACAAAGCACAAAAAAATTGAGATTGTGCGGTTTCGAAAATTGGGATCCTCTTCTTCTTGAACCCATGAACCCCTTTTTCATATGAAATTTTTCGACGACGGTGAAAATTTTAAAATAGGTCCCTCTTCTTTCTTCATACGCGAAAAGTAAACAACAAACAACTTAAGTGGAGTAAAGGAGAATGAATCATCAAGAGAGAGATAAGGGAGGAAGGATATGTGGATTGAAGAGACAGTAAGGCAAGAAGACGGAAGACTTCATGCGAGAATTTTTTTTTTTTAATTTAATCACTTCGCATAATTATTTTTTTTGTGTATCATAAATTATTTAAGTTGATGGTTTAATTTACCCTATGATTAATCCAAAAGCTCATATAAAAAGGACATCACAAATCTTCAAAATGAGAATCTTAAGATCTGTCAATATACAAATATCAAATCACTATTACTAATTGAAGCTCATTGGTATTTGTTTTCACCATATAAAAAAAAATTCAAATTCGAATCTCGAATGATTAGAAACTTGATATTCATTTAGTATTAAACATATATAATGTCACTTTTTTGGAGTTGATCAAATCAAAATCTTAGTGCAATGTAGGATGATATGTAGTCATTTTGGGATTGGGTTCCCTCCTCATCAATTCACCAAGCTTCATTCCCCCAAACGTTCTTGCGTTAATTATGAGCTGTTTAGAAATGCTTTTAAAATGATTAAAAACCATTTTGTAAAATTGTTTATGGTATCTATCTTAGTAAAAATACAAATGAATCTTGAAAAAACATTTAAAGTGCTTCCTAATTAAAAGAATCATATAACTAGTATTTCTTAAAAATGCACTTAAAGTGCTTTTCAACCCTAAAAGCACTTGAACCAAAAGCATTTGATACACACTTCCAAACATGCTCTGCAGGAACAATTGGGCAAAGTCCAATATTTATACAAGACAATGAAACAGAAGAAATCTAGAAAGTCCAAATATAAAGGTGAACTAATTATACAAAACAAGATGAAAATTTAACAAAAATGAAGATTTATATCTTAAAATATGTCCATCAGATCACACATTACACAAATTGATCACTAATTAAAGATGTAATATAAACTTAAATAATTAGGAAGTTTCTCGTAATATGACATAAAGTGCATATATAATTCCTGGTATATACCCAAATAGCGTCAGCAATAAGGCAATCCAAAACTCCACCTGCAATTTCACAAACAAACCAATATATAAAACAAAAACAAAAAAAAAAACCCTAACACCACACAAAAGCGACGATAATACTTTTTAGTACCATCTCAACGGACTAGCCATGTGACTTGAAAGACATCCACTTAACGGGTAAGATAATCATGTAATTGTATAAACAAAATTTTTTTTTTCTTCATAACTTGTTAAACTAGCTTCTTATGATCGCCAAACGAAGATGTATAAATGCATCATTTGCATACACTTGAAGATAAACATATAGTTCTATTCAATCAATATTAAGAAAACAAGTATTTCAACGCATACCCATTAGATTCCAACTTTGCGTAGACAGATTACTAGATCGCCAGTTGAAATGGTAAATGTAAAAGAACTCTCATTCAATACAAATGGTGACAATGTGACTTACCGCACAGCCATAGCGAATGATGACGCCAACTGGTGGAAGAATTATGGCACACACGACTTCTACGCATGTCCTCATCTTATTAATTAACTGAGTTTTTATTGCTAATTCGTTTGTGGGAGAAGCCTTGTAATCAGAGAGCTGATGAGAAGAACATGCAAAATTAGTTGTGGAAAACCGCAGGAACTAAGGCTACGTTTGCATGGCCAGCAATACACGTGTCTTTCATTCCACCAAACAATGCTTTGGCGGTTTACCTTTTAGGATTATGGGCTTGGTGTGCTTTGACGGGTGGATGTCATACACCAATTACCCATAAGTAATAGAACCCAAAGATATTTAAAGAAACAATTAAAGGTATTAGAAACCCATTCATTTGGTGTTTTTCTGGGGAAAACTAGTCCTTGATCATGGACAAGAGCAACAAGAAGTGTTGGAGAACAATGCAGAAATAAATAAATATAACAGATATAATAGAACTTGAAATTCTAATACTTTATTAACTAAAAATACTTGCTATACAGAATGAAATTACAGAAACAAATACAATAATTAAAATGGTACTAACTTGATTACAACAGGTAGAGGCTAGCGCAAAAGTTATGTTCCTCGAACAGTATTTATGTCTCACTCTTGTGCTTGTGGTTCTACAACGTCTGCTCGACCAGGATACAACTACCTAATTCTACCACGCGTATTGGATTATAGAATTCTAGCGAATTGCTTTGTGTGTTTACTCTCTTGAATGTTTGTACGGAAGAAAAGGAAGAAGAAAAGACGATCTACGATGAAACTGAGGACTCGGGTTATATAGGTTATTTCATACATCTTCAAATACCTTTTGGATGTATCTGAAACTATACAACTCTTTCCAAAGAGTTGTGTCTATTAATCAAAACATTTTTAATTAATTTTAATTAAAAACTTAATTTGAAATTAAAACTAATTGATCAGATTAATTTTAATTCTTAGGCCCTAAGGCCCAAGGCCCTTGTCTTGATTAATTAATATTAATATTATGGTATAATCATCAAGCCTAATCCACACAATTAGTGGCCCAAACCTCAATCCTCATTCCAAATAGTCCAACACCTAATCACTAATAAAGGAGACTAAAGTAATATAAGGACCTCAAGTTCCCTTGAGTTCCCCGATGTGGGACTTAAGGGAGCTCAAAACTCCAACAAGAAATCCATTCATAAAACATTCTTCGTGTGAGTCACCATAATTTGTGGTCATTACGAACTGCGGAAGATATTTTCTTTGGAGCATCAATCAAAGCTTTGTCTTCAAGGTCTTTTAGTTTTCATCATCGCTCATGGCAGAGGTCGTTGGCCCTAAACTTGAGTTCAACTCTCAATAAAATCACCAATGTTGGAGCTAAAATTGTGCACATTTGCGAACAGAGACGAGATCCAATCACAATTGCTCATGATCTGCGACGAGGGTAGATGGGATTGATTGGGGGTGTGGTTGAATACAGATTAGACTATCATCTAAGTATATAGAAAAACAAATTAGGCTCATTTGTATATTTTTGTTTTTTAGAAGAATATAGAGATATTCCATTGATAAACAAGAATAGCTACAAGCCTACAAGGGTTGCCCCGTAGGTATATTCCTAAAGTAACCAATATATTGCTATGGGGATAATTTGCACAAACAAGCATGCAGACATGATAATCCTCTAAATGGCTACCATAAGCACAAGAACTACTGGTACCAGCTCAAGTATAGCCATCACACATCTGCCACAAAGACGGCAGCCTCAAGAGACCTATATTGTGGAACATGCAATGTCATCAGCAATAAGCGAGACCACACAAAGTCATTGCTGACAAACGATGCCACATTGCTTGTTAGTCGGGACATCACCTGCTAGATGTGATACAAACACAAGTACACTAAACCTACACTACTGCGAAAACAGGAGCCAGTGATTGGCTTATCTTCACAGCGAAATAAGAACACCCAGCTAGGACCACCTGCGACTTAATTAACCGGTTCTAGAGAGATCCGCAACCACCGAGAGAAAAGCACCGCGAAGCCACCACAAATCTGCCTAGGTAAGGCGGTGTCCCCGCTAATTGGTCAAGAAGAGTAATTCCACCGTGGAGACCAGGCCATAGGAGGTGGATCTGATCCACCAAAAATAAAAAACCAACCAACCCACAAATCTGGCCCCAAATCAAGGGTAAAAACCTTGAGAGGAGTACAAATTTTGATTTGGGGCGGAGGCTCCAACAAAGCCATTGAAAAAATATTTGCCCACAAAATGATGGGCAAGAAAAGATGCTAGTAGCAAAAAGTGGATTCGGTAATTTACAGAAGCAATTCGTGTCGTTCTATGTGGTAGAGCAATAAAATGTATTTTTCAAGCTAAACGTTAAATGTTTCAAAGAGTAAAAGAATCATGGAATAAACACTATATTGCAGAGTTTCAATGATACGTTTGTACCAGTAGTAAACAAAAGTATCATTAACATAAGTTGTTCTAGTAGGAAAGAACGATATATTGCTGAGTATAGAAAATAATCTCAAGATTTTAAGGGAACCAATTAGGTGAAGGCACTGCTATTTAAGTTATTTTCTTTTGTATTTAAAAATAAAGCTACTTAACTATGGTTAAGTAAAGACACATGGAACGTTTTATGAAGAGTGGTCATGCTCACCACCAAGCAAGGATGATGAGCAAATTCTCACTCTAATACTATTATTAACGCTGGATACTTTTAGGCTTAGCCCAACGTAAAGCCATGCAAGCCCAAAAGACCAAGAAGCCCATAATGAAGCTCTAAAAGAAAGAATTCTCGAGTGATCTAAGTTGACCGTTACACTCGACCAACGGATTATGCATTAAGTTTGAACTGCCAAGTTGAGTTTCGATGTTGAACAACATGAGCACATGGGCTAATTGACAACTTTATGGCATAACGCTCAAAAAACAAGCTTACTCAACCATTGACTCAGGACATGTGATGACTGCCAATCAATTAGAGTCTATGACGGGACACAAGGCAAAATTGGATCGTTGAGCTCGAGCAAGTCGCTCGGCTCTCAGAGCAATGCTAGGCAGATCACCAGAAGAATGCTCAGCATATGGACTGCTTAGCAAGCATGATGCTCTACAAACGAATGCATCTTGAGGAGCCCCACAGCTAGACTACCATTAAATGAAGGTGCGTTGACTGAGACCAGATATTTATTAGATTAGATATTTGTGGTTTGTATTTTTTAGAGTGGTTGGGAAGTGCCACGTGATGATTGTTTAGGACCGTCCGATTGACCACCATGTGAAGGGTGGGTTTTGCCAATTTGAGGCAGAAAGGCAAAAGAGAGAATGGGAGGCTGGTGGGGGGAGAAAGGCTATGTTCGAAAATTTTCGAGATAATTTCAATTTTGAAAATTCCTCCAAATTATTTGTTGTTAGCAAGCTATATATCCTTTCTAAAGTTAGTGTATAAATGAGGAGGGCCCCCTTACAAACAGTCTTCAATTATCTATACTAATACTATTATTAAGAGAACCCTCAATGTCATTTTTTTTCTTCTTATTTTGACTTTTGATATACAATACTTACATAAGGAGGGTAAAATAGTAATTTTATATCTTTTGATTAAATGACAATCATATCCTTATTTTTCCTATTTTACCCTCACTTTTGATACACAATATTTACATAAGGAGGACAAAACATTAATTATGTAATATTAAGATGAAATATGCACTTATTAAGAGAATATCCCATCATTAGTTTTTCATACTCTTTTTAAAATTTTAAAAACTAATCACACTCCTTAATAAAAAAAACAAAAAATAAAATGAAATTGTTCACACACACAGAGTGTGTGCTCATCGGCTAGTATATATAAAGTCGGAGGCTCGTTTTGGTGTCACCGGCTTTGACAAAAATAATTGGACCAAACTACCCCTCAGCCAAAAAAATTCAAAACCTACCCAAAATAATATATCAAATCATGCAAGGGTAAGTTGATAATTTGGTCATCATAAAATATAATATAAATATAAATGGGAAAGAGAAAAGAATAAAAAAATGAAAGGGAAAAGAGAAAAGAATAAACAAATGACAAAGTTGATGGTGCCCACATGATGATGAAGAAAAATCATGAATGTTGTGTTCAAAACATCTTAAGAGGCACGTAGAACCGGTGATAAAATAGAAAATAACAAAAAAAAAATATTGAAGCAATTCACGGATATAAATACATTTAAAATGTCTAAGTCGTGCATAGCGCGCTGTGACTCAAAAAATGCTTTTTGCATGCGGTTGTTTATTAAATATTATTTCTCAATTTTTAAACACTTAAGAGGTGCGTAGTGCCAGTTATGAAAAAAGTCTCTTGCACGCGCATAATAATGTGATTCAATTAGTTGTCAAATGATCATTTTTTTAACAAACGATGTTATTTAAACTAAGGTGAAGGAGTGGGCTTAGCCTCACAATGGACTAGCAATCAGTTGTTTATTAAATATTATTTTTTCTAATCTTAATGTAAATTCAATAAAATGTAAATAGAAATTGAAAGATCGCTTTTATTAATATGGATTCAGCTCCTTTGACCGCTTTTATTAAATGTATTTATTATTCATTTCCATCTACATTAATAAATACATTTAAAACATGTAAATCGCGCGTAGCATGCCGTGATTCAAAAAATGCCTTATACACGAACGTAAGTGCGTGCATGGAGGCTAGTTTTGTTTAAAGAAAAGAGGATACCATGAATTACATGATCACACATTATACATATACTAAAACCCAAACTCGGGTGGCACTGTTTTTCACTGTTCGTGAACAGTGAATTGGCGGAAATGCCCTCGGATTTTTCTTATTTTTGCCGTTTCTTTCTGTCCTTCCATTCGTGTGTTTCACTTTACCTTTCTCTATTTTCTGCTTTAGGGCTTCTCTGCTTTCCTCGGTTGGGTTTTCCTCGGTCATCGTCGTTGTGTGCCTTTATTTCTCTGGATTTCTTCCTTTTTGTTTAATGATTTTTTTTTCTGGCGAGGCACGATCTTGATTTTTTGCGATCATTGTTTGCTGTTCTACTCTGTTTTTGGCTGCGATCTGTGGGTTGCATCGATTTTGTTTCAAGCCTCTCTTTTGAGAGGATCGGTGCATATTAAGGTTGGTGATTTTCAGATTTTTTTAGTTTTGCTTTGCAGTTTTATTTTATTTTTGGTTGTCTTGCCCATCAATTTGTTTTTTGGTTGTCTGACTATTATTACGATTGGGATTGATTTTGTTGGCAGATTTTCGCTCGAATTTGGGTGATCTCTCTTTTGAGAGAATCGGTGCATGTTGAGGTTGGTGATTTCCAGATTAACTATTACATTTTCTTCATTTAATTTTTTTCCTGCACATCTATACAAATACCAACGCTGGCAACCAAATTAACTATCACATGCTATACCGAGATTATTTACACAAATTTAACCTTTTCATAGATGCAATTTTATGTTTGATTTTAAATTGGCTAAATATATTCAAACTATTTTTTAACAAGCATTTTTTCAATAATTTTTTAACACACAAATAAGATAGTCTTGAACACCACTGGTTCTTCGCTTTTCTTCATTGATCCAGATATTCCGGAAGTAAATTCATAAAATCAATGTAAGTTTGTTTTCAATTTATTTAAAAAAAAAATGTTATATGCTCTTACAATACAAGAAAGGCTACTCTCACAAAATGTATCAACTAATGTGCTATTTTAAACTCTGCAGCTTTTCCAAATGCACATAGCCTTTTAAAAATACTGCTACCCTCTACAAAACAAGCCAGTAAAGCTCAAATATTGCAGACAGCAAAGAAGGTAGCAATTGAAGAGTTGGCTTTTTTAGATCCAAATTTGTACAAGGTATTAAATTTGTTTATCTTTTGTTAAAAATGTTGAATGCATCTTAACACAGTTGGTTAAAAATATCTATATTATTAATCGTGCTTATACAAGTCTTTGTTTTGAATTGGTATCCTATCGTTCATTTAATTTTCCTCCAAAACATTTTATCTGTTTTTGCCTTAACTGAAAAATAGTTGCCAAATGTTTTTATCTCACTGTCTTTTTCTAGCTTCTTACTTGAAACAACTCTTGCTTATATTGTTTATTTCAGATCATCAAAAATGTGGTTATCAACTTTCTCCTGTCCCTTCTGCTGCACAAAGAACATGGAATCTTACTTTTGAACAGATGTTACTTTCGCATCTCTAATCTATATGCATCAACAACGTTTCTCTTATTTTTTGGTATGTAAATAACTCTCTCTAATCTAGGTTAGACAATATTTTTTGCATGCAATAGCCCAACATTTCTAATATTTTGTATGTAAATGCCAGTCCTGATCTGTTATCTAGGTTGAACAAATTTTTTTGCATGTACATAGGCCACCATTTTCCAATGCTCTGTCTAAATGCTGGCAAAAATGTGTAATCTAGGTTTGACCAATATTTTATGCATGTACATAGTCCAGCATTTTCTAATCTTTTGAGTACAAATGCTGGTCCCAGATGAAAATTGGGTGAAAACAATGAACCGCAGTGAATGATTACAGTGTTTTGTATATCTAAATTTATCTTATTGTTTTCTTTGATTATCTCTGCGTTTTTCAAGCATAGTCATCAACACAGTTTTTAATCCCGCTGCAACGCGCGGGCAGCATTGCCTAGTTTACACTAAAGATGTAACTATATATTATAATGTTCTACAACACTGACATATGTTACATGCACACATTGTGAAAACTGTGATATTGATACCAATACATAAATTATACAAGACAAACTCACGCTGATAAATCAAGATTCGTCCTCTGTTTGGCAAAATTAACTATAGCTAGAAAGCTCAACTAGTGAAGGCATTCCAATTTATAAGGTGAAATGGTCCCTCACTAGAAGATTATACCGCAAACGACAGAGAGGTTTTTGTTTGATCTCAACAACTTTGTCATGGCCTTTGCTCCAAACCAAAGCTAGCATAATGTGTTCTATGTTCGGTCTCCAAACGTAATAGCAACCGTACCAGTGTTGATTTATATATATAATCTAGTTAATAAAATAGAGAATTCTCTATTTCAATCCTTGAAGAAGATTACTTTTACAATAATACCATGTATAAGATTAAAAACCAACTTTAATCTTTGGGATTCAAATATTATTTAGGTTGTAATAATTATTGAGCTTGTATATAGGTTATATATTGATCCTCCTAAACAATAAAAAAATTATTTGACAATTATTATTTAGTCCCACAATAAAAAAGCCATATATATATCATATATTCTTCATCGTGTGTAAATTTCTATACATATATATATATATATATATATATGTATGTATATGCATATTACCTACCTATGTATGTACTATAGTTATGTGTCGAGATATTTTGCATCGAAACTTATGTACTGATACATTCGTACCAAAACTTATGTACTGATGCAATTATACCGAAACTTCTGTACCAATGCATTTATACTGAAACATATGTACTAATACATCCGTACCGAATCTTATGTACCAATGCATTTGTACTGAACCTTATGTACCGATGCAATTGTAATGATACATTCGTACCAAAACTTATGTATCAATACATTCGTACCAAAACTTATGTACTCACACATCGTACATAAACTTTGTACCAATACATTATACCAAAACTTATATACCAATGCAATCGTACTGAAATTACGTGTTGATACTTCCTTCCGTACCTATGAGGGTTTTTTTTTTTATAATATAAATTGTTTTTGTATTATTGTTGACTTCTTTTAATTATAAGAAATTGAATTTTAATAAGTTTTATTTATTTATATGATTGAAGCATAAGAAAATACATTAATTATGGAACGATGGACAATTTCGGATGGTAAGTTATAAATAACAAATGTGCTATAAATATTTAAATATGTTGAAAACATTGACATTGTTATGAATGCCCACACACACATTGTCAATACCCTTGCAAATTGAAATAGACTTTGGAAACAAAAAGATTGTTTTTCAAAACATGCGATGTAAATTTCAAATTGTAAGAACCTGTTTGCATGGAGCCACTTTATAAATAGAGCGCTCTGACTGTAGTTAAATGAGAAGAGAGAATACTAAGAAAAAAGGAAAGATTAATAACTTCAGTATCTATTCCTCTCTCTTTTATTTGTCATCCTCTTGTGCTATAGCTTCAGTGTGATATTTTACACCTACTTCGTTTGTCACTAGTAAAGGTTATCTCTCTAACTTTTACATATTTATAACATGTTATCAACACTAGTCTCTAAAACCTAACCATTTTCTTTTTTTTCTTCGCCGAACGAAAGAAAGGAAAAAATGTTTCCTCTAAGGTTTTTACTGTTCATCTTTTTCCTCTGCCTCAACTGCGCGATGTACGCTCGCAACAAACTGTTTGCTCCATGCCTGCTTCTAGTTCTCAACCTAACAATTACATATATCTTTGATTTCTTGTTTGGTGTAGATCTTGATTACTAACCCAGTATTTATATATGTTGATTTTACTGCAATCCAAGATGGTGCGGTACAATCGCCCATCTTGAATTGCAAGATGGTGCGGTATCATCGCCTATCTTGGACTGCAGATCTAATTTTACTGCAATTTTAGGTGGTGCGGTATAATCGTCCACCCTACCCTGCATATTTAAATTTGCTTGCTATTTAATTTCATTACAATTTTAGGTGGTGCGGTATAATTGCCCACCCTGCTATGCATATTTAAATTTTTCCTGCTACTGGAGTGGTGCAGAATAATCGCCCATCCTATGTTATTTTATTTTAATGATAATGGAGCGGTACAATCGCCCTCCTCATTCATATTGAAAATCTCGAGTCTGAAGTTTCGATTGCTTATCATTTTGGCCTAAAGATCAAAATGAAAAATTTGTAAAAACCAGAAGTTCTAATACTATATTCATCTAGGAATACATATTATTGCAAGTTCTTACACATCTCATTTTTCTTTCAGAAAAGAAAATGGCAAACTTGGCAAAGATTGATTTTGCTGCCCTAGACATTACAATGAAGAATTACCTTACCTGGGTATTGGATACCAAGATCCATCTGAAAGCAGGGAATCTTGGAGATACCATCAGGGAAGAGAACAACTCATCCTCTCAAGATCGGACGAAGGCCATGATCTTTATTCGTCGTCATTTTGACAAGGGACTAAAAATCCAGTACTTAACGGTTGAAGATCCGTTAACCATTTGGAAGGCATTGAGAAACAAATACAATCACCAGACAACGGTGATTCTTCCAAGGGCTCGCTATGAGTGGACTCACCTAAGGATTTAGGTTTTCAAGTCAATGGCAAAGTACAATTCTGCGTTGTTCAGAATTACCTCTCAGATGAAGCTCTGTGGGGATACTATTAGTGAGGAAGATTTGCTGGAAAAGACTTTTAGCACATTTCATGCCTCTAACGTGCTCCTGCAGTAGCAGTATAGAGTGCGAGGCTTCACTGAATACAACTAGCAAATATCTGTGCTTTTGGTAGCTAAACAAAACAATGAGCTCTTGATGAAAAATCATCAGTCCCGACCTACTGGATCTACACCATTCCCAAAAGTGAATGTTACTTTCCTCGAAGTGAACGCCACATCCTCTGGTGGCGATAATCATAAACGAAGACGTGGCCATAAGCGAGGTCGGTGGAACAAGAAAGGCAATAACCATGGTGGTTAGTTTCACAACCAGGTTCCAAGGCATAATTCAAGCTAGAGTTTTAAAAATGTGAATCGCCACAAAGGCAAAGCTCACATGAACAATGCTCCCAGCAACTCTAAAGGAGCTTGTCATAGGTGTGGTGGCAATGGGCATTGGGCGCGTACTTGTCGTACCCAATGGATATAGATGTCGAGACTAAATTTCTCAACCATGCTAAACCAATGGATATACCTGATCCAGTGTGCGACTTATCATATCAGTTGAACACAACTCACCTAGATGTTTCGGACTTCATTGTGAAAAAAGGAAATGAAATGTATCGGTCTGACTGAATCATTTATGTTTGATGTACTTTTATTATGTTGAACTTGTAGTTTAAAACTAGCATTTCAGATTCAATAAAAATGGCATGTAAATTTCCTGTTATAACTTGCTTCTAACTTTGATTCTCTTACTCAGAGAGCATGGATAAAAACTATGGTCATTCTCAAAACATTAGAAATGACGAAGATATTTGTCTTGCAAACTGCGCAACTACGCATACAATACTTCGAGATCGAAAGTAATTTTTAAGATTGATGTTTACAAAAGGGTAACAACAATATCAGGACCTTCAAATGTAATTGAAGGCTCAGGGAAAGCCCAGATTATGTTACCAAATTGAACAATATTGTCCATACAGAATGCGTTGTACGCTAATCGATCTACTCGAAATTTGTTGAGTTTCAAAGACATACGTTTAAATGGATACCACATTGAAACGAAAAGTGCAGAAAATGTGGAGTATATATGCATTAGCTCCAATGATACCCAGAAGCGTATCTTGGAGAAGTTGCATGGTTTGTCGAGTGGATTGTATTATACATACATAAAAACAGTTGAATCACATACTGTCATGAACCAAAAGTTCATTGATTCAAAAGTTTACATGCTTTGGTATGACCGTCTGGGTCATCCAGAATCTACCATGATGCGTAGAATCATTACCAACTCTAATGGACATCCATTATTGAGCAGAAACATTGCTATCTCAAATGATAACACTTGCAAGACTTGTTCTCAAAGGAAGTTGGTAATTAGATCATCACAACTAAAGGTTGATGCTGAATCTCCATCATTTCTGCAAAGAATTCAAGGGGATATTTGTGGGCATATTCAACCATCCTATGGACCATTTCGATATTTTATGATTTTGGTTAATGCATTTTCCAGATGGTCACATATTTGTCTCTTATCTACTCGAAATGTAGCTTTTGCAAGACTTCGTGCTCAGATAATTAAGTTACGAGCACAGTTCCCAGATTACCCCATTAAGTCAATCTGACTTGATAATGCTGGTGAATTTACGTCTCAAACCTTTGATGATTACTACATGACATTGCGTATTGATGTTGAACACTCTGTTCCTCATGTCCATACTCAAAATGGTTTAGCAGAAGCATTGATCAAGCTGCTTCAGCTAATATCTCGCACTCTGCTCATGAAAACAAAATTGCCAGTTTCTGCATAGGGACATGCCATCTTACATGCTGCATCATTGGTTCAATTGAGACCTATAGCCAACCACCAATACTCCTCAGTACAACTTATGTTTGGGCATCAGCCAAACATTTCACATTTACGAGTTTTTGGTTGTGCTATTTATGTGCCTATTGCACCCCCGCAACGCACTAAAATGGGACCTCAGCGTAGACTAGGAATTTATATGGCTTTTGATTCACCATCTATCATTAGATATTTGGAACCCTTGACATGTGATATGTTTACAGCTCATTTTACTGATTGTCACTTTGATGAGACAGTCTTCCTGTCGTTGGGGGGAGAAAAGATCGTTCCAGAAGAATGGAAAAAGCTGACATGGGTTGTTCCCACCTTGTCTCATTTTGATCCACGTAACACTTAATGTGAAAATCAAGTGAAAAAGATTGTTCATCTTTAAAGCATTGCCAATCAAATGCCAGATGCATTTAATGATGCTATGAAAGTGACATCATATATACTAGCTGCAAATACACCTGCAAGAATTGATGTCCCTGTTGGACAAAATAAAGTGGTAACGAATGATTCATCTGGTGCACGGCTAAAAAGTGGTAGGCCCCAAGTTCAAAAGATTCAGCCCATCGAAAGAGAAAGACAAGGGCACATCTGAATCCAAATGAAATCATTCAGGAAGAGAGAATGAATGACAAATCTACAATTCATGATTCTAGACTTCCAAAAAAAGAAAATGTCCTTGATGAGACACATGTTTCTGAAGAGACAACAGTACATGAGAGCAAAGAAATCTCCATAAATTATGCATGTACTAATGAATTGTGAGATCGGAATGAAATAATCATCGACGATATGTTCGCATTCGCAGTAGCCATTGAAATCATATTAAGTTATGATATTGAACCCCGCTCTGTTGATAAATGTAAATAGAGACAAGATTGGCCTAAGTGGAAAGATGCAATCCAAGCATAATTAAATTCCTTGGAAAGGCAAAATATTTTTGGACCAGTAGTCTAAACCCCGTATGGTGTAAACCTCATGGGTTACAAATGGGTATTCACTAGGAAACGCAAAGAGAAAAACGAGATTGCAAGATATAAAGCACAACTCGTTGCACAAGGTTTTTCGCAAAGACCTGGAATTGATTATGAGGAGACACACTCTCCTGTAATGGACACAATTACGTTCCGTTACTTAATAAGTTTAGTGGTTTCAGAAAAACTTGACATGGGACTTATGGATGTCATCACCGCGTATCTATATGGAGAATTAGTTACTGACATATATATGAAAGTCCCAGAAGGACTTAAGTCGCCTGAAACAACTAACAAATCATGAGATATGCTCTCAATCAAATTAAGGCAATCATTGTATGAGCTAAATCAAGTTGGACGAATAATCGTTTCAATGTGTATTTGATCAAAGAAGGGTATACCAACAATGTTATTTGCCTTTGTGTGTTCATTAAGAAATCCAACTTTGGATTTGCTATAGTGCCAGTATATGTAGATGATATGAACCTAGTTGGAACCCCTGAAGAGTTCAATAAAATTGCTGAATATCTGAAAAGCGAATTTGAAATGAAAGACCTTGGAAAAATGAAATTTTGTCTGGGCCTGCAGATCGAGCATTGTGGCAAATCGAGCATTGTACTAGTGGAAATTTAGTCCACCAATTAGCTTACATTGAGAAAATCCTAAAGCGATTTGGTATGAACAAAGCTTATCCACTCAGCACGCCAATGGTCGTTCGTTATCTGGACATTAAGAAAGATCCATTCCGTCCAAAAGAAGATGATGAACTAGTCATTGGTCCAGAAGTACCATATCTGAGTGTAATAGGTGCTTTGTTATATTTAGCACAATGTACTAGACCATATATAGCTTTTTCAGTCAACTTGTTAGTAAGGTATAGCTCTGCTCCAACAATTCGTCATTGGAAGGGTGTCAAAGATGTATTGCGATATCTTCGTAGGACAATAGACATGAGTCTCTTTTACTCAAAGAACTCCACAAATGACCAGGTCCTTGTTGGATATGCAGATGTTCGTTTTCTCTCTGATCCGCATAAAACCCGCTCACAAACTGGATGTGTTCAAGAATGGAGATACAACAATCTCATGGCACTCAACAAAGCAAACACTAGTTGCTACATCTTCCAATCACTCAGAAATACTTGCTTTACATGAAGCAAGCCGTGAATGTTCTTGGTTAAGATCAATGATTCATCATATCCGGAATTCATGTGGTCTAACTCTGAAGACAAACAATCCAACTGTCATCCTTGAAGATAAAGCAGTCTGTGTTACCCAAATGAAGGAATGATTCATTAAGGGCGATAAAACTAAACACATCTCCAAAAAATTTCAGTGTACATGAGCTTCAGAAGGCTAAAGTTATTGAAGCCAGACAAATCCATTCTAATGAAAATCTGGCACATTTGTTAACCAAATCTCTACCAAAATGCACGTTTCGGAAGTTAGTGCAAAGTATCGGATTACGTCAACTTACCAAATATCTATATTTGGAGAATGCGGAATCAAAGGGAGCATCTATGATACATGCATGTTGTACTCTTTTTCCTTCGATTAGGATTCTTCCCACTGGGTTTTTCCTATCAAGGTTTTAATGAGGCAACATAAGCATATTTTACACTATATCAACAATCCAGGAAAAGTTGTACTCTTTTTCCTTCATTATGGTTTTTTCCCATTGGGTTTTTCCAAGCAAGGTTTTAACGAGACAACTCATGTTGATATGTGGGCATCCAAAGAGAAGTGTTGAAAAAATTGGCATTGTTATGAATGCCAACACACACATTGTCAATACCCTTGCAAATTGAAATAGACTTTGGAAACAAATGGATTGTTTTTCAAAACATGCGAAGTAAATTTCAAATTGTAAGAACCTGTTTGTATGGAGCCGCTGTATAAATAGAGCGCTCCAACTGCAGTTATTGAGAAAAAAGGAAAGATTAATAACTTAAGTATCTATTCGTCCCTCTTTTATTTGTCATCTTCTTGTGCTATAGCTTTAATGTGATATTTTACACCTGTTTCGTTCCTGTCACTAGTAAAGGTTATCTTTCTAACTTTTACATATTTATAACAAAATATGGGAAGTTTTAATAATAGAAACTTCAATTAGATTTATAAAACTATTCAGGTTAAAAACTAAAAAAAATCTTATTTAAGCTCTAAAATCTATACAACAACAACAACAACAAAGCCTTTTCCCACTAAGTATAAGCCCCTTAAAATGTGTGCTCTTATAAGTGTGTTTAGAGACGGTGTTAATTATAATCCAGAAGGTTGCAGCATGTTAGAATCCTACAGTTGGTGAGTCTCATAAGTTTGTTTTGAGACGGTGTTAATTACTAGTGGGGTGATGAGAAAGGCAGACCACCCATGTGATCCATTTAGGCATATGAAAGGCCTGTTTTTGTAATGTTTAGCGTGCTGGTTCATGTGATCCATTTTGGAGGCAGTGCTTCCATTCTTTGCAATCATATATAATGTCAAAAAGAAAATATCTTCCATGACTAGGAAATATCTAAGAGATGGGCTGCCAGAGTGAAATATGGAAGAGATAACTATAGGATTGCACAGCTTCGTACATCTATTCATTTTGAATTTGACGCCTAGCAATGAATTGTAAAGCGGCACACTGAAGACCAGCAGGTACCTGCAAGAGTCCACTCGCCTTCCTTTTGTGATCATAGTTCTTCTCGATTGTTCAATGCCAACGCTGTCTCAGCCGCTCATCCACCAACCACCATTGTTAAACGAATGTCAATGATATTGTTCAACTCTTAACTGTTCTGCAATTTACCACAATTGGAAATCTGGAATAAGTTAACAAGTAAACTGAATATGAAAACAACGTCGATAGTAGTAAAGTTGATTGATTAGTTATCATATAGCTTGCCAAATTCTTATAACCCATATAAATAGTGGAGAAGATCACCTGAAACAATTACAAGCCCAAGTTTCTTGAAGTGAGTTTGTCCCCGTGCAAGGTAATCTTCCAGCAATCAACTTGAAATATAAACACAGAAAACTTTTTGGGCACCACTGCAAATATGCCCCATACAGATAATCAAACCATCAGCATTCCATTATCAATTCACAGACGAGAGAAGAAGAAATCGTAGCATGAACACATACGTGTTCACTTTAGGTTCAGTTCAAAGTTCTAACAACACGAGTTGTACCAAGAACATCTAAATAAATTAAAGGTTTGAATCAGCAGCTCAATTACCTCTGAATTTATCATCCTGTGTAATTATCCCAAATGTTTCTGCTGTTTCACGAATCATGATACCACTCACTCCAGTGTATGAAGTTACTTTACACTCGGCAACTGCCAGTAAATAGACAGGGAATTACAGTAAATACTGACAGAGAGAAAAGGGAAGGTGAGGGCGTGTTTGACACTGCCAAGCACTGTGCAGGAATCAGTCCAGATAGTTCAAAGTACATGCATTTGAACATAAGTTCATAACTTGATATAGAATAATGTATCCTTGAGCCATTCACATAAGAGAAAAAAGAACAAAATAACTTAAAGGAGCAGAATTAAAGGCCTAAATAATTCCCAATTTTGATCGACAAAAGAGAAAAAAAGTTCCCAATTTTAGGATGTTTGAACATGTTGGAATTACAAGAAGCCATAATAGTACATGTGATCTATCTGGTGTGATAAGAATTCGTAATATGGCTTGGAGGATGATTAGAGGTGAATAATGAACAAACAGTATGCACAATGTTTACATTCAGGACAAGAATGGGCAGTTATTAATGAAAGTTATGAAAAAAGTAAGAAATAAACCTGAAATAATAGCACCGTGTAGATCTGCACTAAGAATACACTGAGCCAGCTGATTTTTTCTGCGGGATTGAACGAACTTGTGGTTAGTTTTCAACATCGAAGACTAACAAAATGCAAAGCATATTGCCCCCCAAAACTAGATGCTTAAGAAAGAAACGATTAACCATTAAAAAATATACATAACTCTGATATCTGCAATGAGATATACTCACCCAGTAGTTTTTAAGAGTTGCACAATATAGCCTTTCCACATCTCATGCATTGGCTTAAATTTATCAAAGCTGTGATCCAAACAAAAGAAAGTATTAGAGAGTGAACCATAGATGGCAAAATATAACAAGTAAAAACAAAATTGTTAAGATCTTATCATCAATCACGGAAAACATCTCTCCAGTTATTGAAAGATAAATATATTGATGATAACCAGTAAAAACAAGCCATTCTGAATCGTAAGCTTGTAACTTCAGGATCAGAAAAAACGATTTGCCTAGCGTATCATTATTATTATTCATTTGTTGGAAGAAGAAAAATAACTATCACAGATTCACAAATGGCAACATATGCTGAGAAACACAATTCACCTATGAAAATCTTTAGGAAAATCAAACAATCCCTTCCTTTTTTGCTGTTTCATTGACATGTGCTTTTTAGAACGCTTGGAATGAATCTGCAGCGCCCTGGCATGAGAGCCAGTTGAAACGCCACGTCCTTGCACATAGTTATCGAGGAGAATCCAATTGTCAATTCTCTTACTTCTGGATCCTTGCATGTACTTCTGAGATGAGTCTCCACTCTGAAGAAGCTCGTGCAAAACCTTATCAACTTTACTCTCCTTTCTACCGCCAGAGACCTGCATTTCACAAACTAGATCTTAAACCAACGACTTAAACCAAAAATTTTGCTTCAACTTCACGAAAAAGTACCTCAACACTAGTTGCCAGCAGATTCTCATCAACAGATTGAACTAGTTTTGCATATGTTGGACCACTTTCGTCGATCTCTGAATAACAAATACAAGCAAAATAAAACATAACCTCAATCCTAATCTCTTAAATTAAACTACCAAAAAATTTTGCCTCGATTCACTAAAACTGAACCAGTACCTTGTGAATTAATATACCCCGAAAAAGTGAAAGCTCCTATTAAGAATAAAGACGAGAAAAATCAAATAAATCATAAATATACAAAATCATAACAGAAAAAAAATATAAATTAAATATCTGAAACTAAGATTTTCACAAATGGGGGTAAGGCAAGTGCCTTCGCCCATGAGCGGTAGGTCTCGGGTTCGAGACTTGGGAGCAACCTCTCCATAAATGGGGGTAAGGCTAGCCGACATTTACCTCTCCCAGACCCTACGTAAAGCGGGAGCCTTGTGCATTGGGTACGACCTTTTTAAGATTTTCACAAACCTTTCTTAAATGGAGTTGAACTTGAGGCTGATGGATTTGCTAAATTTGGTGAAGAATCAACAGCTGAAGAACTTGCAATATGCGATTTCTTTCCAGCTTCCTCGGTTTTTGATCTCTTGACAGTCTTCTTTTGATGTAAATCGAGCTCGACTTGGGCAGCCTCAAACCTTCGTTCCAATGCCTTCAAAGTGCGTTGGCGTTGATCGTCAACAATTGTTTCACCGGCCATGGCTGCTTGAAAAGATTAAGGAAAATTGGTTTAGCATCCCTTTTACAAACCCGTCAACCGAAAACAGCCCTACACCCAAAACCCAAAATGGAATCTCTTGCTAGTAATTGGACAAAGAGACAAAACATAACAAAAAAAATAAAATCAGGCAAGAACTAGCATGCAATGAACAAAACTACAGAATATGATATCCATTTAACTACACAAAACTAATACAGCCTTTGGCTGAATGTTCCATATGCAATAACTAATTTGTTTATAAATATCCAGACATTTGATCAAACACCAACTGGTCAACAAACACCCTATGCAGAAAGACAAGCATAACTAAAAGAAAATAAATCATGAAGATATATACCAAAGGTCAATCCCAGTAAACTCTCTAATCATTCATTATGTAGTTCATTTTGTGAGAGTGCTACTTGAAATGAAAAGACCTCGATGCTGAAGAAGAAACACTTAGACATGAAGTAATAGATGACTGAAACTCAAAAAATTCTAGTTGAGAAATTAGATCACCTTCAGATCATGACCCAGTTAATGAATGATAGAAAAACCAAAAGGGCATAATTCAAATATCAAGAAAAGCATACCAAATACCAAAAAAACCACTGCATACAAAGAATCTTACAAATGTGCCCTGACAATAATATGAGGTTTAAAAATAACATAAAAACAAACAATAGAGAACATTAACAGATCAGATGAACAACAAGACCACCGCAGAAATGAGAATTCAGAAACAAAGATGATAACTTTATTAGCAAACCAACAACAACAACAACAAAGCCTTTTCCCACTAAGTGGGGTCGGCTATATGAATCCTAGAACGCCATTGCGCTCGGTTTTGTGTCATGTCATCCGTTAGATCCAAGTACTCTAAGTCTTTTCTTAGAGTCTCTTCCAAAGTTTTCCTAGGTCTTCCTCTACCCCTTCGGCCCTGAACCTCTGTCCCGTAGTCACATCTTCGAACCGGAGCGTCAGTCAGCCTTCTTTGCACATGTCCAAATCACCGGAGCCGATTTTCTCTCATCTTTCCTACAATTTCGGCTACTCCTACTTTACCTCGGATATCCTCATTCCCAATCTTATCCTTTCTCGTGTGCCCACACATCCCACGAAGCATCCTCATCTCCGCTACACCCATTTTGTGTACGTGTTGATGCTTCACCGCCCAACATTCTGTGCCATACAACATCGCTGGCCTTATTGCCATCCTATAAAATTTTCCCTTGAGCTTCAGTGGCCTACGACGGTCACACAACACGCCGGATGCGCTCTTACACTTCATCCATCCAGCTCGTATTCTATGGTTGAGATTTCCATCTAATTCTCCGTTCTCTTGCAAGATAGATCCTAGGTAGCGAAAACGGTCGCTTTTTGTGATCTTCGCTAGATTGCTCCGGTCATTAGTGTGGATAAGTATATAAATGGATAGAGATAGGAAAGCAAACACAAGATGTACGTGGTTCACCCAGATTGGCTACGTCCACGGAATAGAAGAGTTCTCATTAATTGTGAAGGGTTTACACAAGTACATAGGTTCAAGCTCTCCTTTAGTGAGTACAAGTGAATGATTTAGTACAAATGACATTAGGAAATATTGTGGGAGAATGATCTCGTAATCACGAAACTTCTAAGTATCGGAGTGTGGTGTCGTCTTGACTTGCCTTATCTGTCTCATAGGTAGATGTGGCATCTTCTCTGGAAGTACTTTTCCTCCATCCAGGGGTGGTATCTTTAACTGGTGGAGATGCACAAGGTAATGTATCAATTTCACTTGAAGCTTACTTGTAGTTTCAGGCTTGGTCAAGCGCGATACAAACCATGTAGTAGGAGTCCCCCAAGTCGCCGAGCTAGGGGGTCTGCTGAAAGAGGTGACAGACAAGGTAAGCAATCAGAGCTCCGACTGATTGTTCACCTTCTCCCCATCTTGCAACAGCATGAAGGATAAAGAGAAGAAAAATGAGAAGAGATGATATGAGATACTTTTGCTTTTGAAGAAGTAACTTTCCACAGGCTTATTCTTGAACTGAGCTGGAGGGTTTTCTGGTTTCCTCCAGAGTATAAGGCCGACTGAAGAATTTGAGGGTCAAAACAAGTCCATCAAATCTAGAGTACGTTCCACCCTGCTGATATAGGATACTTTTGCTTTTGACAGAGTAATGGATGTATCGGCACGTGTGCTGTTACGCTTGTCTCCACATGCTTCCTTGTATCCTTCGCACTTGCCCTATCTGTTCCTCAAGCAGATGCAGAATCTTCCCTGGAAACATAAGATGTTGAAGATGAGTACTCGAGAGCAATGCCAGGTAAGTAATCAGGTAAGGGGTTCCAGGCAGTCAGTTCCTGGCTGGAAGCTTGATTCCAAGTGCTGACTGATTGCTCTCTTTCTCCTTGTCTTGCAGGTAAAAACAAGGCCAAAGGAAAAGACAGGGAAAAAGCATGATATGGGATACTCTTGCTTTTAACCCTGATGATATGAGATATTCTTGCTCTAGTATAGCTTGTTTGCAGAGGTATTATCGGGGGGAAAGAAAGCTGAATATTTCGAAAGGCTTCGTTGGGAGTGCCCTCTCAGATATGATGAAGGGTTGAGCATTTTTGCAGGTCTGCCTGTCCGTTGGGGATGGAGGTCGACATATATAGGAGTCTCCCTAACAACAAGTAGTAATGCTATTCCTTTACCCTGCTTGGTCATAGCACGGTAGTGGGAGCTGCCAGTTTCACATGTTTTAACTCTGTCAGAGCACTTTGAAAAAGTGGTCTGTGGTATCTGGCTCTCGAGATTCGGAGAACGATGCCTCTTCGATTTTTGAGAAAGCAATCATGCTGGGGGTCTGGCTCTCGAGATTCGGAGAGCAGTGTCTCTTCGATTTTTGAGGAAGTAATCATGTTGGGAGTCTGGCTCTCGAGATTCGGAGGGCGGTGCCTCTTCGATTTTGGAGCAAGCAATCTTGTTGGGAGTGTTGTCTCGAATGTGAGTAAAGGTTGGGCATGTTTGCTAGTCTACCTTGCCACGAAGCACAAAGGTTGACACACAGGGACTTTCCAATTATCCAGCAATGGTACTGTTCCTTTACCCTCTCTTCGATTTTGAGAAAGTAGTCATGTTGGGAGTCTGGCTCTCGAGATTCGGAGGACGGTGCCTCTCTTCGATTTTGGAGCAAGCAATCTTGTTGGGAGTGTTTTTCTCGAATGTGAGTAAAGGTTGGGCATGTTTGCTAGTCTACCTTGCCACGAAGCACAGAGGTTGACACACAGGGACTTTCCAATTATCCAGCAGTGGTACTGTTCCTTTACCCTTGTGGGTAATAATATGGTAGCTAGACCTTCAAAATTTATGTGTCTAAACTTTGTTAGTGCTGTTTCTTTGCTATTCTTTTACCTTTCTTGGTCAGAGCGATGTAGTGGGAGCTGCAAGCTTCACGTGCTCAACTTTGGCAGAGAACTTTGGCAAAGTTATCTGTGGTACCCATGAGCTATTGTTGCGTGTGGGAAGTGGGTGATTGAACAGTAAGATTCATGTGCTTTCTACTTCACCAGAAGTCTTCGACAGAATGCCCATAATTTCTGCAAAGCTGAGTGTGCGTGTGACAGGTGCTGACAAGGCTAGAAAAGTAGGTGCCTCTTCGATTTCTGAGATCGGCCCTCGTGGTCTCTGAGCAGCCCAGCTTTTGAGAAAGCGAGCGCCTCTTCGATTGATTCGGAGAACGATGCCTCATCGATTTTTGAGAAAGCAATCATGCTGGGGGTCTGGCTCTCGAAGATTCGGGGAGCAGTGTCTCTTCGATTTTTGAGAAAGTAATCATGTTGGGAGTCTGGCTCTCGAGATTCGGAGGGCGGTGCCTCTTCGATTTTGGAGCAAGCAATCTTGTTGGGAGTGTTTTCTCGAATGTGAGTAAAGGTTGGGCATGTTTGCTAGTCTACCTTGCCACGAAGCACAGAGGTTGACACACAGGGACTTTCCAATTATCCAGCAATGGTACTGTTCCTTTACCCTCTCTTCGATTTTTAAGAAAGTAGTCATGTTGGGAGTCTGGCTCTCGAGATTCGGAGGACGGTGCCTCTTCGATTTTGGAGCAAGCAATCTTATTGGGAGTGTTTTCTCGAATGTGAGTAAAGGTTGGGCATGTTTGCTAGTCTACCTTGCCACGAAGCACAGAGGTTGACACACAGGGACTTTCCAATTATCCAGCAGTGGTACTGTTCCTTTACCCTTGTGGGTAATAATATGGTAGCTAGACCTTCAAAATTTATGGGTCTAAACTTTGTTAGTGCTGTTTCTTTGCTATTCTTTTACCCTTCTTGGTCAGAGCGATGTAGTGGGAGCTGCAAGCTTCACGTGCTCAACTTTGGCAGAGAACTTTGGCAAAGTTATCTGTGGTACCCATGAGCTATTGTTGCGTGTGGGAAGTGGGTGATTGAACAGTAAGATTCATGTGTTTTCTACTTCCCCAGAAGTCTTTCGACAGAATGCCCATAATTTCCGCAAAGCTGAGTGTGCGTGTGACAGGTGCTGACAAGGCTGGAAAAGTAGGTGCCTCTTCGATTTCTGAGATCGGCCCTCGTGGTCTCTGGGGAGCCCAGCTTTTGAGAAAGCGAGCGCCTCTTCGATTTCTGAGATCGGCCTTCGTGGTCTTTGAGCAGCCCAACTTTTGAGAAAGCAAACGCCTCTTCGATTTCTGAGATCAACCCTCGTGATCTCTAAGCAGCCCAGCTTTTGAGAAAGCAAACGCCTCTTCGATTTCTGAGCAGGCGCCTCTTCGATTTCTGAAGCTCCGTCGAGTGCAGATTTTATAGGGGCTGGCATTAAGTTCCAAAGCACACTTGAATCTCCACCAGTAGAAGCTTCATTCTTGCACTTCTAAGATCTTGATTTGTCCGACCTCTTCTCTCTTCAACACCTTTGAAAATGTCTGGCCCCTCCGACCGTCGTTTTGACTTGAACCTTGTTGAAGAGGCAGCCCCGCCTTCTCCAGACAACATATGGCGCCCATCC